GCACCTCTGCTTACTAAGTGCGTTATTCCCTCCTTAGGACAGCAACATGCAAGGGGTGGGGAGCGCAGTGGCTGCTTCGCCCCTGTCTTTCAGGTAGGGGTGGTTTTTTGGTGCGATTTTGGATGGTGTTCAGCTCACACGTGAGCTTCCCAGAAGCTTCTGGCAGAGCCCCACCAGGGACGATAAACATTGGACTACACGTCCGTTTTAGTCTCGTCCAGCCACTCTTGATGTTCCTTCCAGCTGTTGCGATTTCACAAGAGAAGGTGACTGGCTGTTCCTGCAGCCTGCTCTGAGCGCTGCTGCTTGTGTTGCTGTTTGCTGAAGTCTTTTGTTATCCATCCCTCGGAAAGAGAGAGAGGAGGCCACTGATTTTTCTGGAAGGGGGGGGGGGACCCAGGGTCAAAACTAGGTTTTATTCCACCAGGGTCAAAGGCCCAGTTTGACACACACACACACAGAGACCCAATGCACACTTTCCTACACACATACACAGGCTGGGAGCCTCAATGGGCAAAAAACCCATGGGCAAAAACTCAGCTAGACCCTTTCCTCCCCCCCCCCCAGCTGATGCACTGGGCAACCTGTGTGTGTGTTTTTTCTTCTCTCTCCCTCTCCCCCCCCCCTTCACTCCCAGCCTTCCCACCCATGGGCGTAGCCAGGATTTTAGGTGGGGGGGGGAAGACTTTTGCTAGGGGGGTTAGAACCGACGTGACTGGTCAGTTACTTAAGTATTTCTATTGTTTTACTTGAGGGGGGGGGAGGCAGCTGCCCCCCTTGGCTACGCCCATGTCCCCACCTGCTCCCGAGGTGCGTGCCTGGATTCTTTGAGGTGAGCGTTTGGGCAAGGTCAGGTCCAGGTGTGCCTCGCTGGCCTCCGAAGAAATGACAGGGCGCTTTTGCAAACAACTGCCTCGCAGCGCCCCGGGGAATGGGGCGGGGTGCGGCGGCGGCGGCGGCGGAGGAGAAGCTGCGCTGTTGTTCCTCTCCAGGTTGCGGCACGGAGGATCCTGCTGGAGGCGGGCGGCGGAGCATATTCCAGCGGTAAGTCAGCTGGGCGGGTGGCGTGAGGTGGAAAATCAGGCCCTTCCTGCGTGGGTTTGCAAGTCCTGGTGCCTTTTCAAATCGTGTTTGCTGTCTCCTGAAGAGCCTAGGGTGTGGACTGCGGGGCCCCAGAAGAGGAGAATCTCCCCGAGGGTTATGGAGATCGTTGTGGCTTTTAAGGAGAGAGAGCTGGTGTTAATTCCCCACCTCTGCTACAGACCTTGGTGTGCAACCTTCGTCAAATCACTGTCACTTTCCTCTACAGTTGTTGTTGTTGAATTTATATACCGCGCTATACCCAGGGGTCTCAGGGCAGTTCACAGAATAAAATCAAGATATAAAATCACAATATACCTAATAAAAATAAAACAACAGCCCAATAGCCCCCCCCAAACCCCCCACATTTTAAAAGGGTATAAGATGTAAATTGGATTAGCCAAAGGCCTGGTTGAAAAAGGAATGTTTTTGCCTGGTGCCTAAAGGTGTATAATGAGTTCTGTGTGTTTTGTGAATTAGAGTGGGGGGTATGGATGTGTTTTGTTTCCAAGAATTGCATACCCTCCAACATTTCTCCGATGAAAATAGGGACGTCCTATTCCATAATGGAAGACAGGAGTGTCTGGTGTGCTCTGGTCCATGTGGTCACAAAGAGTCAGACACGACTTAACGACTAAAAAACAACAATTCCATAACGATGATAATAATAATAATTTTATTATTTATACACTGTCCATTAAAAAAACCACATCCCTATACAGGCCTGCCTTCAGGTGTCTTCTAAAGGTGGTAGATTTACTTATCACGTTGGCTGGGGGGAGGGGTCGCAAAACTCCATACCCTCCAACATTTCTCCAATGAAAAGAGGAATGTCCTAAGGAAAAGCGGGACATTCTGGGATCAAATCAGAAACAGGGATGGCTTTTCTAAATCCGGGAAAATAGGGACACTTGGCGGGTCTGGGATTGTTGAAGTGGCAAACACAATGAAGGCTGTGAACCATTTTGCAAACGGAAAAAGGAATGGAAGGATTCAGTTAGTATCGTATGGATGAAGGGAGGGGGGTGGAACTGGGCATTTCTGGGGCCTGAGTTTCAGATAATTTGGTTTTCATTTGTGAAAAGGGTGAAGGCTTAATAATGAGATGGGTGAAGTGTTGTCTCCATGCTCGGCTGAACAGCAGTGGTGCGAGGGGCAGTTAGTGCAAATCTGGGCATGGATAGTATGAGCAGTGAAGAAGTGGACATTGCACACCTGGAGTGGATGAAAATACCTAAGTTGTTGGCATCCATCTGTCTCGAGAGACAATGGAGTGTGCCTCTGGGGGTGAAGTCAAACTACTACATTAGCAGCGCCAAAGTGCCCTCCTAGGGAACAAACCAGGAGGTCCTGGGCTGCCCAGACAACAAGATCTACCACTTCCACCTGCCTCACTGCTATGGTCCAAAGGAAAGCAGAGCAATACATTTGGCTCTGGCTTGACTGCAGGAGCTGCCGAAAGGAGGCATACAATGCACTCCCCAACGTCTCAGGGACTCCACTCTGGATTTGTGTAGGGTTTACTCCTTAGCCCCCATCGTTCTGCCCGGACACTGAGGTCCAGCACCGAGGGCCTTCTGGCAGTTCCCTCACTGCGAGAAGCCAAGCTACAGGGAACCAGGCAGAGGGCCTTCTCGGTAGTGGCACCCGCCCGTGGAACGCCCTCCCACCAGATGTCAAAGAGAACAACAACTACCAAACAGAAGACATCTGAAGGCAGCCCAGTTTAGGGAAGCTTTTAATGCTTGATGTATTATTGTATTTTAATATTTGGTTGGAAGCCGCCCAGAGTGGCTGGGAAAGCCCAGCCAGATGGGCGGGGTATAAATAATAAATTATTATTATTATTATTATTATTATTATTATTATTATTAGCCTTCTCTTCAGCTGAATATATCCCTCAAGGCAGCAGAAGTTTAGGAGCAGAGTTTTCCTTCTCCTAGATGGGCTACGTTCCCAGGTGGATGGGCCCCATCTGCCCCTCACTTCCCTCCGCAGCCTGTGCAGAAACCGCCTTCTTGACCATTAGACCCGCTGCCATCGGTCTCGTCTGCTCAATCCGCCAGAGCCCGTCCTCGCTCACTGGCGGAATTTCTAACTCACCAAGTGTTTTGAGACCAATAGGCTACCTGGTTTAGCCAGCCAGTCGAAGCAATTTCCCGGCGTGTGGCTGCCATTGCTTGCTGACAGCTTCTAGGAGCCACAGGGGAGAGCTGAGTGCAGGGTGAGGACCAACGGTGGACAAACGACCCCATACACTCCACAAAAAGAACGCAACTGCATATATTTCTGGTAGCAGCAGGGTTCAATAGCAGGTGGCTCGAGGGCCACATCTGTCTTCAAATGTACCATCAGCCCCCAGTTGCCAGCTCAGAAGCAAAAGGTAACCTGTTTAAAGAAGCAGCGAGTGATCGGGGGACAAGCTGTGACCCTCTTCCAGAGGAGCCCCTTCTCAAAGCAAACCCTTTCATTTCACTCAAAAGGATGGTAGCCAGGCACCAGGACTCCTGGGTCCTGTTTGTACTTCTGGCAGAGCAGGTGGAGAGCTTGCAGTTGTGGTGCTCAGTGACAGTGGTGGTTGAATGAGGGGAGCGCGTCTTGCAGGGTTCAAGTTCCCAGTTCTTTGAGGGGAGGGGGGGACAACAAAGCTGGGGGAGGGTCTCCAATCATTCATTCGTAATGCTATCTGCACGCCACTTTTCCACAAAAAAACCAAAACACCAGTCATGCTCAAAGCATGTTACAACAAAGATCGCAGGAACGCATTGGAAAATTTAGCCATGCAAAAAACAGTTTCATAATAAAAACAACACAATAGCATAATACAACGAGGCACCCAAAAAAACATTTCAGCACTGTAAATAGAACATGATCACATTAGCAACATCCAAACCCGAAGAGCAACAATAACAAGGGAGCTTTCACCTTGGTCCTAGAAGCACCTCTCCCATGAGCTGTGGGGGAGGGCAACCTGGTGCCCTAGTACCACGAGGCCCTGGATGTCAAGAGGCTGTGAGACCAAATGGCTAGAGCCAAGTGCACTTCTTTGTGGCACAAGGACAGGAGTGGGGGAACATGAGAGGAGCTTTGCTGGAACAGGCCAGTGGCCCATCTAGTCCAGCGTCCTAGTGCCAATCCACAGGTGCCTGCAGGTAACACGCTTTCCCCACCTGTCATTATTTTGGGATCAGATTCAATCACACCCCAGAAAATTCAGGTTGCAGATTTATAGTCCATTACGACGTCTTGGGCAAGAAACCCACTTCTCCAAAAGAGTCAACCTTTTTTGTTGTTGTTTGCAAAAAAGAAAGGAATGGAAAAATGCACAGTAAAGGGATAAGACTTGCTTTGATGCAGTATCTTCTGACTTCCCCACAAATGGATCCAGGTGAATGCTCAGTGAACGGGTCATCTGGACGTGCTCACTGCCTCCATCAGCAAGGGCAAATGGGAGCCACTGCGTCTCGTGGCTGGTGATGGAGGAGGGAAGGGGACACTGCATCCCCCTTGAGCGGTTTTAGGCTTGAGCTGGGATCTTGGCGAACGATCAGCGTTCAGCCTGGACACTGAGCTCCCAGCTCCGAGGGCCTTCTGTTTGGTTCTCTCACTGCAAGAAGTGAAGCTACAAACCTCTGCCTTTTCGGTAGCGGCACCCACCCTGTGGAACGCCCTCCCATCAGATGTCAAGAAGATAAATAAATGCACAACTTTTAGAAGACATCTGAAGGCAGCCTTGTATAGGGTGGTTTTTAATGTCTGATGTTTTATTATATTTTTATATCTGTTGGAAGCTGCCCAGAGTCAGATGGGCATGGTAAAAACAACAAAACAACAACAACAACAGTGGTAGTAGTAGTAATCAGGTACGAAGCTTGGGGTTGTATCCCTGAAAAGCTGGCTTTGTCCTGTCACTTCCGGAAGAATAGCTTAGTCAGCAGAACATGAGACTCTTCATCTCAGGGTTGTGGGTTTGAGCCCCACGTTGGGCAAAAGGATTCCTGCATTTCAGGGGGTTGGGCTCTACGGTTCTGTGAAGGCCCTTCCTCAGCAAATGCGTTATCCTTCCAGGTGCCAGGAGAAAGCTCTTTGTAGTGGCTGCCTGCGACAGGTGTGGATGCGGCAACGCTCCTGGAATCCGCTCTGGAATCCAATCTTGCGTTTTCCCCCTCAGGGAAGGGAGCGGGTGCTCAGAAGCAGCTCGCGACTTCATTGCGGTGCCGGCTGGGAGCCTCCCCAGTGGCGTCGGCGTCGTGCGGTTCCTCAGGTTCCTCTGCTTGGGCGAGGACCGGACCGTACGTGATTCACCTGCCACGCAGGGTGGCTGCTGCTGCTACTGCTGCTGCGTCGTCGAGTCCCTTGGCAGGCTCTCCTGCTTGGGGCCCTGCCGATGCCCCACGGGCAAAGCCACAGGAGCTCCCGAGCCAGGTCCCGGGTGCTTAATTGGGGCTGGCTCAGCAGGCACCTGCTCGCTGCGTTCCGCCCTCTGGCACTCCAAACGGCACTTGGAGTGCCAAGGCTCTCGCAAACAAGAAAGGGTGTTTTGGAGTGACGGGAAGCGGCCAGAGACTGGGGGGGGGGCACACCCAGGGAGCAGCCATCTTTGGACAGTGGCTGTTTACATCCCCTATGGTAAAGCACATTTACCTCTCTCCCTGCCCCCCCCCAATTCATGGCACCTAGCTTACCGCCCGCCAACAGAGCTATAATTCCCAGCAGCCATATGAACCTGCGTAAAGGGCATCTTCACATTGAGGATGGAGCCAGCTTGTTTTTCCCCTGCTCCAGACGCTAGGTTAAAAAAAAGGGGGAAGGACCCCTGGACGGTTAGGTCCAGTCAAAGGTGACTATGGGTTGCGGCGCTCATCCTGCTTTACAGGCCGAGAGAGCCAGTGTTTGTCCACAGACAGCTTTCTGGGTCATATGGCCAGCATGACTGAACCACTTCTAGCACAACGGAACACTGTGACGGAAACCAGAGTGCATGGAAACGCTGTTTACCTTCCCGCCGCAGCATATCTATTTATCTACGTGTGCTGGTGTGCTTTTGAACTGCTAGGTTGGCAGGAGCTGGGACAGAGCAACGGGAGCTCACCCTGTCGCGGGGATTCGAACTGCCGACCTTCTGATCGGCAAGCCCAAGAGGCTCAGTGGTTTAGACCACAGCGCCACCCGCGTGTAGGCAGGGAGAGGAGGGGGGCTGCTGTCCCCCCCCATCAAGTAAACAAATAAAAATACTTAACTAAAGGAGACAAGAGGATAATGGCAGGTGGGTGTCTTGCTCCCCCAACATAAATCCTGGCTACACCCATTCTAGGACCCAATGGATTGTTGTTGTTGTTGTTTTATTTTTACTCTGCCCATCTGGCTGGTTGCCAAGAACCACTGTGGTGACTGTTCCATCTCCACAATCAATGCATGCAGTTCTCTAGAGAGGAGATAAGATAGCCATCTTCAAATATCTGAAGGGCTGTCGGAGGATGGAGCAAGCTTATTTTCTCCTGCTCTGGAGGGTAGGACTCAAACCAATGTATTCAAGTTACAAGAAAGGAGATTCTGACTCAAGATCAGGAAGAACTTTCTGACGGTAAAAGCCGTTCAGCATTGGAACGGTCTCCCTCTAAGCTACCGTTCCCAGGTTTTTTTTGGGGGGGGGGTGCTGTGTGGTGTGTACGCAGTCCCTAGCCTGGGGACCCGTGTCCCTCCAGAAGTTGTTGGACTCCAGATTCCAGGAAGTATGGCCAGTAGTCAAAGAAGAAGAAACAAGAGCCACAAGTTCTCCATTCATGTTTTTAACGCAGAGTGGCCCAAGGGCCACATGTGGTCCTCAAGACCTTTTTTGGCAGCCCTCAGTCATATCTGACGCTTGGTGGGGGGAGCGATAATTCCCAGAACAGAGCACAGGGGAGGAGAGGGGGTCATTCCATCTACGAAGCTGCCGTCCTTGTGGAGATGGAACGGTCATCACATTTGTTGTTGACTGGAGTGCCCCACTGGGCTGAAATCAGATTGCTGCATTAGCAGCACTAAAGGGACTTCTTCGGGGTGCAAGCCTGGGCAGGGTGTATGGAGGTCCTGGGCTGCCCAGACGACAAGACCCCCTCTTGGCCTTGCTGATGTGGTTCAAAGGAAAGCAGAGCAAGATGTTTGGCGCCAGCTTGACATCAGGAGTTGCCGGAAGGAGCCATACATGGTGCCATCCAACTGTCTTAGGGACTCTGCTCTGGATTTGTGTAGTGTTTACTCTTTACCCTTTTCTTCTGAAGATATCCTTCAAGGCAGCAGAAGTTTAGGATTAGAGTTTTCTTTCTCTTAGATGGGCTACCTTCCCATCTGCCCCTCACTTCCTTCTACAACACATGCACAAACCACCTTCTTCTTCTTTTTTAATAAATTTTTATTGAAAATTTTATTTACAACATAACACAAACCCCACCCCACCCCCCAATACAGAAATCCACCCTCATTAAACGTGAACATAACATACAACAAGCATAACATACAACAATACAAACAACCAAATAAAATACTTCCTTTATCCTGTATCTGGTCTCCTTATTTACTTCTTATAAGGTGTTTCCTTTATGAATAATTATTAAGATTTTTCTAATTATAACTTAAATATCCACAAAGTCTCCTACAGACATTAATCAAAACAAGTCCAGGTATGTATTTTTAGGCACTGTTTTGTGAAGTATCCTCTGCATTTCCCCCATGCTTTTTGAAACTCTTGTCTAGTGAGATCTCTAATTGCCTCTGTTAATCTAGCCAGTTCAATATACTCGTAACAGTTTGTCTTGCCATTCCTTTTTTGTTGGCAGTTTCTTTTTTCCACTTTTTAGCAAACCACCTTCTTGACCCTTGGACCCACTTTTGGTTCCATCTGCTCAATCTGCCGGATCCTGTCTTCGCAGGCAGAGGAAGCCCCTAACTTGCTGGGTGCTTGAGAACCACTGGCTATCCTCACCCGGTTTAGCAGGCCAGTTGAAGCCGTTCCCAGGGTGTTGCCACTGTTGCATACTGACAGTTTCTAGGAGCCATGAACGAGAGCTGAGTGCAGGATCAGGTCCAACGGTAGATAAGCTACCTCAGAAGGAGCATGATGTGTCCCCCCCCCCAAACATCGCATACACCCCAGTCGTCATATTGCATCATAGACTTCCACCCAAAATGTGCCGTTTGGGGAAAACGGGGAGAAGACTGGATATGCAGAGTGTAGGTGTTTAATCAGTGCTTAAATGACAGGCAATGTCAGGAACGATATGTACAGTACACAAATTAGGTGAACTCAATATCCATACTTAAGCGTTTACCTAGCCATATTAAGACACCTCCTTCTTTTTGGCCAGAACTTTCTCTGCTTCAGGTTACTCTTTGGGTAGGTAACACTTTGTCACCTCCAGTTCCTCATTGTTTTTACTCCATAGGCTTGTCTCACGCTCTGCATGTCTTCTTCTGAAGCCGATGCAAAACAGTTGCTCTGGGATCCTGCTCAGTCCATGGTGCCATATTTTAATGGATGAAAAAAGGTAAAACGTCTTCTGTTTCCATAGATAGGGGGGGCCATGTGTTTCTTTTCAAGCACAATGACGGCCCATCAGTGAAACCAAATACCTATGTTTGCTTCCTTCGAGGTGTGCTGCACTCACAATTTCCCTTTTATCCCCCCCCCCCCCAGACAAAAACAAGAGACGGAGGGAGATCTTCGACTGGGTGTGAGAGGCAGAGGAGATCTAGTTAGTGAACCAATCCAGAAAATGACTACTAATTTATTTATCCCTTGGGCTTCGCTCACTAAACTCATCCATCTCCTAGTCAGGCCTTTCAGATGGACCAGACCAGGCATAGGCAATCTCAGCCCTCCAGATGTTTTAGGACTACAAGCTAACAGGACCAGTGGTCAGGGATGATGGGAGTTGTAGTCCCAAAACATCTGGAGGGCCGAGTTTGCCTATGCCTGGACCAGACCAACCATAGGCCTGGACTGAGTCAGGGGGTCTCTGCTTTGCCTAGAAAGCGTGGGTTTGAGCGGTTTCCACCTTGCCCCACTCCTTTCCAAGGGAAACCCTTCCGTTTTGTGAGAGATTGGAACAAATGGGCCCTGAGATCATCCTCTGAGACCCTTCTTTGTGTGCCTCCTCCACAAGAGGTCCAGAGGGTGGCAACATCCTCAGGGAGGTTCGCCTGGTGCCTTCATTATACAGATTTAGGTGCCAGGTGAAAGTGTTCCTCTTCAACCAGGCCTTGGGCTGACTAACATCCTATATCCTTTTGATTGTGTTTGTGGGAGGGAGTGGAGAGGTTATTGGTTTGGTTTGTTCTTGTTCTTATTGTGTATTTTGTTTGTATTATGTGTCTTGTATTTTTATGCTGTGAATAGTCCTGAGATTTCCAGATGAAGGGTGGTATACAAATTTAATAATAATAATAATAATAATAATAATAATAATAATAATAACGGCAATCTGGGGAAAACTTGAATCGCCATTTGCTCTGACTGAGTGCTAAAGAGCGGTTTCCCCCAGGGAAAATCAGTGGAACAAGATGAAGTGTTGATAAGCCTTGACGTGGACCATCTAGAAACCCTTTGGGAAAAAAGTTTCATTAGTTAGCAATGAATTGATTCTGCAGATGGCACACAATCCTCTGGCACAGGAAACAGAGCAGACTGTTTAGGAGCACTCTGTGAGGAACGTTTTTTGCCACTGACATCCAAGTGTGATTTGTCTGCCAAAGATGGTTCCAAACAGTTCGCTTTGGGAAAGTTTGGGTTGAAATGGCTCCCTGTATACTGCAAAACAGGAGAGCAGTCCCTGCGCATCATTATGCTGTTTTCACCCATATGGCTTTGCAAAGCTGGTGCTTCTGCCCTGATGGCCGCTAAAACAAAGCAGCGCAACAGGCTGTACATTGAAATCGACCTAAGATGTGCTCTGTCTTCCATGGTGCCCAGAATCCAAATGAGGCAACAAGCATGAGGCATCAGTCATTC